AACGCCATTGTAGTGATCGCTGCATCAGGAGTGGCAGCCGCCCTGGAAAGTCAAGGAATCACAGACGCGATTGGACTTACCGGAGACATCAAACCTGGTCTACCATCATTTCAACCTCCCAAGTTTGAGATTCAAGATGGCAATAACACAATATCTAGTTCTGAGATTTTTTCTGTAAGTATATCGGGGGTTTCTTAAAAAAAAAAAAGGTTTTGCTAACACTATGATATCAGTGTAAAAAGTTGTTGACCTTTGTTAAAATTAACGAGAGCAAAATCATAACAACAAAGATGAGAAAGATTCCACCAGGGCGTCCTCCAAGGCTTTTCTTTACTCATTATCCCCTGACTGATCCCATTCACATGCGCCTGGTCCCCGTATGGGTTCCAAAAGCATGTCGTAAGAGTCAACTAATTAAGAGCTTCCTTTGAAGTCGGAGTGCATCTGCCCGAGAGACACGGAACCAACAGTCTGGATTCAAGTAAATCAGATCTGTAAAACTGATGCACACGCAACACTCAGGTTCTGGAGCATGATTGCAGTCCAGGAGTGGACGAACAACCAGAACTTTCCGCCAGAGTGTACAGCTGGTGAACGCGAAGAAGAAGAAGATATACGCATGGGTACAAGTCTCCACATGTAAGGACTCGCTCACATGGTATTTTTTCGACCTCTTTCAGCCAGTCCCACTATTCAATGTAACAAAGGATTGTAGTACGCAATATACACGTGTTCCACATGGAACCCCCTATCTTGGGTTGCATCCCTTGAAACTCCTCCCTACCCTGGTTCCATTGATTCATTTCAAGCACCGAACTTTGCACTCCGTCCTTTTCTAGTATAGCTTCCATACGTTTCCCCTGCCCTCGTGGATTGATATAATAATATACTACAACATGTCAACCTGGCCGTCATAACCTCTTGGAGCATTAGGATGCCAACATCATCAAATAATCTTTCCAGAACTGGGCCTCTCTGCGTTGTGCCACGGCAATTCCAATAACCTGCTTTAAAGATGTCATGCCGTCTTTCCGTTTTTGATCTAGTTTTTCTTAAACCTGCCCTCCTCTCCCTCTTTCTTCTCACATCCCCATTTACCCTTCCAATTCTCAATCTCTCTTCATTGTCTAATGGAGAAGGTATCAAACACAGTTCACGAACTCCGTTGCTCCGGCGTTAATTCTACTTTATAGTTGAGATTATTGATACAACTGGTCAGAGTCTCTACAGAATAAAAGGCCCCTTTACAACGCCTTCAGACATATTGGGCATATAGGGCTAAACCTTTATTTTTTTATAGACCAATCGGCACTTGGTGGGTGACGTGGTCAACATCACGCCGGTCGCTTTTACTTCCCCGGACTTTACCTGGTACATAATCAGGTCTGGCTGGAACTGGAAGCCAGGGTCATTTTTTCTACTGTTTAAGCGTGGTGAATATTTTGTGACACGCGTCGCCGTAAAAACATTTTTCTCCCACTTCACGCAGAAAATTGGTCCTGGTTTGGCCATTGTACCCCTGATATCCCTGGTGGAAACCATGGCAATAGGAAAAGCGTTTGGTAAGTGCCTGATGTCATTTGGTTTGTAAACCAGTATTATAACTAGGATATAACAACAATACTGACCACCTGCTAAATGAGATATCTAGAAAGGTTCTGCGGGGAAAAAAGAGAATCATGTGAAGAACAATTGGAGCACCTATAATTAAATTCAGTGAAAAACAAGGACTGGAATGGTTTGGCCATTTAATGAGAATAAATTCAATGATGCCAGTATTCAGAACTTACAGCATGAAAACGGCAAGAGATAATGATCGATCCAAAAAAAGAAGATGAACTGAAGGAGTCATAGATACCTTGGGACTCCATAACATACCACACCAGCAAATCGAGCCTGCCATAGTGACGTAAAGATGCGCAAAGCAGGATATGGGGGAGGGGGAGGGAGGGGGAGTGGAAAAAACGATGTTTAGAGGTTTATTCTGATTCCCCCCCCCCCCACCCTTCCCTCGACGCAGATAAG